GAACCACGGTTGGCAGGACACAGTCTCCCTGCTGAACAGTGGGGCACAGTAAAGCAAGAATGGATCTGAGGACAGACAGGCTGAGGAGCATCACCTTTAACCAATCTATTCAACAGAGCCTTGTGATTTGCCAGATGTTGGGGGCACAGTCCGACTGACAACACAGAGAACACTGTTTGGAGCGAGACAGAGCTGCTTCTGTGCAGCTGTGCGACCTCCACCCCAGGAAAACAGTTACTTTCTCAGGGCTGTCTGGCTTCTGCTGCACCTTTGTACAAACTAAAAAAGTAGTCCCTGCAGCAGGAGGACCTAGGCCCACAACTTTGCAAGCAGCTGGAGATTCTGTTGAGATTCTTTTTTTTTTTTTTTTTTTGTGGTATTGGAGGTTGAACTCAGGGCTTTGCACTTGCCAGGCAGCCACTCCATAGCTTGAACCACACTTCCAGCTGATGCCTGGAGATTCTGGTTCCTCCCTAGCAAAAGTCTTTAAATTCAGGTCCACTCTGGAGCAGAAGTCCCTGAATGCCCATCATTCATTCATTTGACAAATATTTTTTGAGTGAGTATTACATGCCTGGCACTCTTCTGGATCCTACAGAGACATCAGTGAAAAAAACACTAAATCTTCTATGGTAAAATGTCAGTAATGGTAACAGGTGTTCCATGTAGTTACGTTTTCCTGCGTATTTGAAATTTTTTACTGAAAATAAAAGTGGGAAGAAAAAAATCTTTGTCTTCATAGACAGTGTGTGTGTGTGTGTGTGTGTGTGTGTGTGTGTGTGTGTATGTGTTAGTGCTAAGTGCTAAACAGAACATGAAACAGAAATGACGATTGACCAATACGTGCGGAGATTCCAACTTTAAGTAGGGTGTTTCTGGGACTACTCGGTAAAGAGGTGACATTTGAACAAAGGTCCAGAAGGACAGAAAGGAATGATCCAAGCTGCTATCTTGGAGGAAGAGATGTCCTGGATGTGTTCCCAGAGAGTCAAAGGCAGGAAAATACCCAGTATTTTCCAGGAACCACAAGGAAGTGAGAGTGTGGCTGGGGCAGAGACTGGGTGGGAGGAGTAGGAGACAAGGGCAGAGAGGAAAGTGGACTGCCTGGACAGGACACACAGGGTCTTGAAGGCCACCATAAGGATTGGTGGCTCTTGTGAGCACTGGTGCAGATGTAATATGTATGCATCCTCAGGGGAGGGGGGGCGGTGGGCTATGGAGCATCCCCAGACTTTTCCAACAGTCTAGACCCCTGCAAGACTAAGGAGCAATATGATACTGGTTTGCTCTCAAAGTTTCCCTCCACCCTGTCTCTGCTGGAAGGGGCGGACACTGCCGGCTTGCTTTGCTGGGGCGTCATGTTGCCATAGCGACCCCAGCCGGGCTTTGTTGGCTGAGCGTGAGGCAGAAGGCTGAGACCAACTGCAGGTAAGCGTAGATGGACACAGGTGGGCTGGGGCCTGGATCTGACCCTCAAGCCATCTGAGCCCCACCCCTCCACCTTCCACTATGGTCCTCATTGTTTAGGATCAAAACAACCTGGGCAGGCCTATCTTATCCTATCAAGTGCTCTTGTAGTAAGACTGCAACCTGGCCTTGGGTGGAATCTATGCAGGACAGAGGTGGGTTTTATATTCCACGGATGAAGCAGGCCCAGTGACATCATAGAAAGTTGTTAAGAGTCTTGGTCAGGAAATGTGGCTCAGTGGTGGAGTGCTGGCCTAGCAGGTGCAAGTCGATGGGTTCCGACTCCTCCTGTAGAATTCTATTTTGTGAGGCTCTAGATATTGCAAAGCTCCTTTGTTCTAACAGGAAGCAGGTCACTGAGTCTGGAGGCTAGAGGGGATTATTGCAAGGAGATTTGAGGACGAGGGTCTCTATCTGTATTGTGGTGATAGTTACAATAACATACATAGTTGTCAAAACTCTTCAAAGTGTATGTTTTTTTGGTGGGACTAGGATTTGAACTCAGGGCTTCATGTTTGCAAAGCAGGTGCTCTGCCACTTGAGCCACACCTCAAGTCCATTTTGTTCTGGTTATTTTGGAAATGGGGGTCTGGAGAACTGTTTGCCAGGGCTGACCTCCAACCACAATCCTCCCAATCAGCTAGGATTACAGGCGTGAGCCTGGCAAACTGTACATTTTCGGTGGGCATATTTTATTGTGTATAAATTGTACCTCAACAAAGTTAATGTTTAAAAATTAAAAGAAAAAAAAAAAACTTGGTCTGAGAATGTAGCTCAGTGGTAGAGCGCTTGCCTAGCATATGCAAAAAGGCCTTGGGTTCTATCCCCAGCATAGAAAAAAAAAAAAAGGAAAAGAAAAAAAACCCACCAAAAGGTATCAGTTTGGGTTCTCTTATACTTCTGAATAAAACAAGCAGAGGAGGAGAAAATACTAGTTTGCGGCTAACATGTCATTAACTCCTCTCTTAACTTTTTTCTTCCTGCACTGGGATTTGAACTCAAGGCCTCATGCTTGCTAAGGCAGGCACGCTACCACTTGACCCGCTTCGCCAGCCCATTAACTCCTCTCTTAACGTTTAGTCATCTTTCATTTTAACGGAGCCCTTGGTAGCCAGTCAACTATTATAAACCACACTATCTGGCTAAGACTTAAGTTGGCTTTTTTCAGTATTTTTATTTTTACAGTTTTCTTCCCCTGAGGGTATCTGGTACTGGTTTTCCACTTATACTAATAATATGTGAAGTCAACTTTTTGGATAAATAGATCAAGTTTGCAAAGTGAGTTAAATATAAACATTAATACAAGTGCAGGCAATAGTTGGGAGAGACCATTACATTGAGGACCAGAGCCTTGTTGACATGCCCAGCTTTTGTTTATGCTATTTTCTTTACCCTGGAGCAATTCTCCTTCTTCCTTGGCATGACTGTAAAATATGTAGCCAACAGTATGGTCCAGGCCCCAGAACCTGGTCAACCTTGTGGAGGTCTGGGCTGAGGCTGGGCTGGGGTGGCAGCCTTTCAATCCACAGCAAGGAGCAACCCTGCCCCCCGTCCCCCACATCTAGGTTAAGGTATGTAGAGTCAGAGAAAGCAAAATGACAGAAAGAAAGGAGGGGAAGAGAAAAAGAGAAAGGGTGCAGTCAGAACCCCCTTGGCTCTTCTTAGCTGAGAGGCTACTTTGTGTGAGGCATTGGGTGTGGTGGGAAGGGAAGAAACAGACACAGTCCCTGCTAAGGAACCCTTCTCACAGAGGTGGAAGGCAGAGCGCAGGGGATTCCAACCCCAGGCTCTCCCAGAATGAGAAGGTGCAACTGAGGTTGGTCTTGATGAATGCTGCAAATGCAGACTGGCAACCCCAATATTAAACCAGAAGCAAAATCCTTCTCTAACACTGTCCCAGCTCCTAGGTCCCTTCTCCCCATCCTAGGCCCTACCAGAACTCTATACTTCCACAGGTGTGAGGGGCAGAGGCACAGGGCAAAATGTAAACACAGGGCCTGTGCTCAAAAAGTACAAGAATTTCAAGCTCAGTGCCCATGGCTCATGCCTGTAATCCTAGCTACTCAGGAGGCAGAGATACGAGAATGGCAGTTCAAAGCCAGCCCATGAAAATAGTTCTCTAGACCCTTTCTTGAAAAAGCCCATCATGAAAAAAGGGTGCTGGAGTGGCTCAAGGTGTAGGCTCTGAATTCAAATTCCAGTACCTCCAAAAAAAAAAAATCACAACAGTGACAGCAGAGCCGTAACAAAAAGTGGGCTCTTTTGGGGGGTGGGGATTATGCAGCTGCACAGCAGACACATGACCGTGGCTCCTGCCCATTAAGTGTGGTCCTGGTGGATCATGCTGGATACCATGATCTCCTGGAGAAGCTGCCTTATCCTAGGGTCATTCTGACTGGTAGCATGTGTGTGTGCTGATGGTGAAAGTTTTAATGGGAGTGGCCCCAGATTCCATGGAGCATAAAGTTGGGTGTGGTGGTGCACACCTATGAGCCCAGCACTTTGGAGCCTGAGGCAGGAGAATCTGAACTCAAGCCGGGCTGGGCTACAACAGAGTGAGACCCTGTCTCAAAAAAATAAACAAACAAAAAAAGGCCATGTGTGAACCTGTCAGTTCAGCTACCTGGAAGGCAGAGATAGGGTTATAGCTCAAAGACAGCCTGGGCAAAATAAGTCAGCAAGATCCTATATCAAGAAAACAAGTCAGGTATAGTGGCACACACCTGTAATCCCAGCTACAAGGTAGGGTAAGTAGGAAGATTGAGGTCTGGGGCTGGCGTGGGCACAAAAGTGTGCAATCCTATCTGAAAAATAACTAAAAGTGTGAAAGGCTGAAGGCATTTCTCAAGTGGTACAGTGCTTGCCTAGAAAGCACAAGGCCCTGAGTTTAAACACAAGCACTACCCCCTCCAAATTCCCTGGAGTATTGTTATATTTTTTTGAGGGGGCAGGGATTCCCAGGATTTGGAGAAGACTGTGTCCATGGAGACAGAAAGATGGACGTGAATGTGTGCACTAGAGGTCCTGCAGATATGAGAAACATCTCTGACACTGGGCAGAGGCCCAAAGCACCCAATATTCCTCTGCAACACCAAGCAGGGCCAGGGAAAAGCAGGATCTAGTGGGAAAAAAAACTAACCCCCCCGCAGAGAAACTAAAGCAGATACCTTAAAAGCAACTGAGGCCAATAGGAGAAGGGGACCAGGAACTACAGAAAAGGTTAGATCAAAAAGAATTAATCTAGAAGGTAACACACGCACACAAGAAATCAATGCAAGTCAACTCCCTGTATAGCTATCCTTATCTCAGCCAGGAAAAACACTTGTTCCTTCCTATTATTGCTTATACTCTCTCTTCAATAAAATTAGAGATAAGGGCAAAATAGTTTCTGCCAGGTAGTGAGGGGGTGGGGGGGCGAGGGAGGGAGTGGGGGTGAGTGGTAAGGGTGGGTGGGGAGAAATGACCCAAGCATTGTATGCACATATGAAAAAAAAAAAAACCAAAAAAAACTAACCCTGCAATGGGGCAGACAGCCTAGGCAAAGGTCACAGGGCAGATGTAGAAGGGTGATCAGCAGTCTTGGCATGCCTGAAACTGTCTGTTTTAGCATTGAAGGACCAAGGACCCAAGGAACCTTCTGGTCCTGGAAAACTGGGACAGTTGGTCATCCTACAGGCAGTCTCTTTAATTGGTGGGCCCTTCCACTAACTGCAAAACCCCACAAAAGCTTTACCACCAGACAGATGATACAGACCAAGGGGGCAGATGCTGGACCAGTGACATCCCTGCAGGCTATGCAGAAGCCAACTGTCGGTCAAACAATCCAATTCTCCAGGAGTGGAACCCAGTGCTCCCCACCACCTAGCCTTTCCCCCCGGGATCCTCTAACCTTTGGGCCAGCACCCACTCTGATTGGCAATTCTAAGTCATTAAATATGTGGCTATCCTCCTTCATCACCTTCTTTCTGATGCCATCACAAACCCTGGGTTCTTACTGGTCTCCCTGGGTTCCCAAGCAATTGTGCCATCAGATGCACCCCTAGAGGAGGCCCCAGGAGAAAGCAAAGTAGGGGACAGCCCATGGTCAGGCCAGCACAAAAGGGTCCCCACCAAGGGCTGCTCATCCGCCCTGGTGATTTAGAACACACATGACTCATCTCACTTGAACTCAGACAGGGGCCTCCTTGAAAGGAACTCAGCATCCCTGGGCACACTGAGCCCCTGATGTCCCTAACCCTTGCCAGTATCCTCCAGCCCCACAGAAGCAGCCAACATGCCAGTCACCAAGTGCCCAAAAAAGTCAGAACCCCTGTGGAAGGGGTGGGAGCAGAAAACCCAGAAGAATGGACTGAGGCACCAGGTGTACGCAGTGAATGGAGACCACTACGTGGGCGAATGGAAGGACAACACAAAACATGGTGAGCGGGAGCTCCCTCAGGGGGTCAGGCAGCCAGTGTGGGGTTGGCACCATAGTGGGTGGGCGATAAGGCCAGGAAACCCGTGTTCAGAGCTCACTGGAGTCATAAATGGTGTCCCCAAAACTCCCATAAGTGGTGAGTGCTGGCCAGGACCAGCCAAGGGCCTTCATGGTATTCTGGAACCAACCTCAGGCCTGACTTCAACTGGGCAAGGGTCTCCAGACCAGCAGGGGACAAAAGTGTCCTCAGACGCCAACTGGGGCTCTGGGGACTGAGCTCCATCTCTGTGCTCTAAGACACTGGCTAAGCCTGGAGCTTAGCCCCTTAGAAACTGGCTTGCAGCTGGGGGTCTGGGCTCTGGGCTCAGCCCCGATGCTCTGCATAGGGCTGAATGTAGAGTCTGGGCAGCAGGGCACATGCAGGACCCCTCCATCCCCAGAGTATCTGGAGTTCCTGCCCCACGAAATGGGCTTCTGAGCTCTGGGGCTGAACAGTAGGGAGTGAGGAGGTTCTCATGATACAATCCAAACCCTAGTGGGGTGGGGGGGGCAGTTTTTATTAAAAAAAACTGGACAGGACTTCTCACTCCAGTCTTGCAATTCCAGAGTCTATATTCTTAACCACTCACCTGCCCTCCTGAGTTAAATACAGTGGGGTCCATAAACCTGGGTTATTAGAACCCCAGTTCCACCAACCATGACCTTGAATGAGTCATTATATCACTCCGAGCCTCAATTTCCCCATCTGTAGAATGAAAATAATACCTAGCCATGCAAGATGACATCTACTAAGTGTATATTCCAGGGTCTGTGCAGAAGGGGAACTTCTAGAATGTTCTCTGAGGATTGAGTATGGTAGAGATCAGTACTCAAAACCTTCCTTGTCCATGCTGGGCATTGATGACTCATGCCTGTAATCCTAGCTACTCAGGAGGCAGAAGTCAGGAGGACTGCAGTTCAAAGCCAGCACCAGGCAAACAGTCTGTGAGACCCTATCTCAAGGCTGGTGGAGTGGCCCAAGTGGTAGAGCACCTGCCTAGCAAGTGTGAGGCCCTGAGTTCAAGCCCCAGGACTGCATAAGGGGGCAAAAAAAACCTTCCTTGTCCAAGCCCTTCAAAGTAGACCTGGTTCAGTGTGTAACACAGGACTCACCCCAGCACGTACTCAGCCCAGCTGTGCTGAACTCTGCAAACTCTGTGTGTAGTTAAAGATGTCTGGGTGTGGTCTGCAATTCCTCTGAGCAGCACATAGTAGGTCCAGGGCCTTGGACCAGGATTTAGGACTGACGGTCTGGACCTGACTTTACCATTGGGTAGTTGGGAGTCCAGGTAAATCACGTCCCATCATCTGGATCCTGTTTTCCCTACCTTGACTGACACTGTGGGCTGACATTGCCCTCCACGGCTGCCTTCTGTGTGAGTCCTGCCTCTCCTCAGACCCTGCAGGTGAAGACCCAGAGCTGAGGGGCCTGGGTTGCAGAACACAGACCTGTCAGAGAATCAGGCACTTGACCACGCTGAAGTGAGTACAGGCAGATCAGAAGCAGTCAGGAGAGCAGTTGATTACACAGGATGAGGATGGGGTGGCTGGATGGTTCCTCAGGCTGTCTCCTTTGCAAAAATACATATTAAGCTGCCACTCTGTCCTGTGCTGGGCACCTGGCACATCCCAACCCTCAAAGCTTCCTATCTTGCAGAGAACTGATATAATAAGTTACCATCACATCTTACAAATGACCAGCTCTGACGAAGGGAGTAACTACTCAAGGTCAAGCAGCTAAAAATGGTGGCATTTGCTGGGTGCTGGTGACTCACGCCTGTAATCCTTGCTACTCAGAGACAGAGATCAGGAGGATCGAGGTTCAAAGCCAGCTTCAGCAGATAGTTTGCAAAACCCTATCTTGAAAAAAATCTATCACAAACAAAAGGGCTGGTGGAGTGGCTCAAGGTGTAGACCCTGAGTTCAAATCCCAGGACCACAAAATAAATAAATTAATTAATAAAAATAAAAATGGTAGCATCAGGATAAAAGAGGAGAGCAAGGGGACCATGAGAGCATAGACATCCAGCAGGTGATGTATGAGCTGGGCTCAAAAGATGAGAACGAGTTAACCAGGCAGAGAGGCATTTCGTCCAGATAGTAGAATTAGAACTAGGTGGACAGAGTGTGGCTTGATTAAGGAAAAGATGGAAGTCAGTGTGACTGGAGCAGAGTACAGGATAGGAGAGAGTGTCCCTGGCCAGTCAGTAAGGCTAACCATACAGGGCCTCATCACCCATGGTGAGCTTATCTCAGGGAGAAAGAGGAAATAGCTTAAAGGTAGAGGTGAGGCTTAGTCAACACTATGTCTTCATTATTTCTGACACCCAGAGGGCCATACACCAAATATTAACTGAATGATGATGGATGAGTCTACCCTAGTCAGGAGTGGCCCACCTACAACTGACTCCACAATATTGAACACCAACTAAGCATCAAGACTGTCCTAAATGCTGTGGGGAAGTAGCAGAGAAGAAAGCAAAGTTGTCTGTCCTCCTGAGTTTTGTGTTTAGTAGGACTAGACAGGCAGCAAATAACAAATCTAATTTAAACAACCTCATAATATAGTATGTTAAGGTTGAGGTGTATGCAAATGCAAACCGAAGTGCCAGAATAACGGAGTTCTGGATTTTGCAGAATTAAGTAGGGTGGTCTCATCTCAGCGAGCAGGGGAGTTCTGAGTCAAGATGTGGAAGTGGGGGAGTTAGCTGGATGGAGGTTTGCAGGGACTAGCATCGCGGGTGGGTGGAACAACTGGGGCAGAGAATCATACTGAGTGGGTCCAGGAAGGTCAAGGTGGCCAGTGTGGCTCGGAATAGAGTAAGGAGGAACAGGAGGGTCAGAGTGGTTGTGGAATGGGGAAGGAAGCCAGGTCACATGGGGCCTTGGGGGCCAAGGTGTGAGCATTGGAGTTTATACTGAGGGAGGGTTTGGGCACAGTGACATAATCTACCTCACATCCTACAGTGGCCATTGTGTTGTGAAGACGGTGGAGGCATGGGTGGGGGCCAGGAGGCCAGTCCACAGGGAGCATTTGCAGATGTGCTGGTGAGAGAGGACAGCTGTAAGAAATCAGGGGACAAGCCCCCTCATGAAAGCAAGACACTGAAAAGGCAGGGATGGAACCAGCAGGGAGACCCTGGGGACTATCTTTCTATTTGTTTCTGTGCCTCTCTTGGTGAGTTTCCCCCTCATACTGCATGATAAATGTGTGGCTGCCATGTCTTAATAAAAGAATGGAGGTATTCTCTTCACTTTAGTGTATTTAGTATATTAGATAATCTCCACTCCTTTATGCTTTCAGAATATCACCATCTTTTTTCTTGCAAAAAAGAAACCCCATACCTATCAGGCTTCACTCTCTCCCTTCCCCCAGCCCCCAGCAAGCACAAATCTACTTTCTCTCTCTATGGATTTGCCTATTCTGGGTATTTCCTATAAATGAATCCTACACTATGTGCTTTTTTGTGTCTGGCTTCTTTTACTAAGGGTGATATTTTCAAGTTCATTCATGTTGTAACATGTGTCAATACGTCATTACCTTTTATGGCAGAGTAATATTACCCTGTGTGGACAGACCACATTTTGCTTATCCACTCATCTGTTAAATACAGATTTTGGGTTGATGAGTATTTTGGTTGTTTCTACCATGTGGCTATGATGAACAATGCCGCTGTTTCTTTTTTTGTGGTTCTGGGGTTTGAACTCAGTGCCTCACGCTTGCTAGCCAGATACTCTACCGTTTGAGCTATTCCACCAGCCCAAGAATTCCGCTGTGAACATGTATATACAAATTTTTGTTTAAACATCTGCTTTTAATTCTATTGAGTGGAACCGGTGGGTCTTATGGTAACCCCTGTTTACTTACTGAGGAACTGCTCAACTATTTCCCCCAGTGTCTGTACCAATGTACATTCCCACCAGGAACACATGAGCGTTCCGTATCTTTATCAGCTTTCTAGGGTTTTGGTTCATTTTTTTCCCTACGTTGGGGATGGAACCCAGGTCTCACATATGCTAGGCAAGTGCTCTACCATGAACTACACCTGTGAACTACACCTGTAGCCCCACAAGTTCTACTTTTTAAAAGTCCAGCAGTTGTAGTATAGCTCAGTGGTAGAGCACTTGCCTGGCATATATAAGGTCCTGGGTTCAATTCCCAAAGCCACTAAAAAATAAATAACAAAAATCCAAAGAAAGGGCTCTGATTGGCCCAGCCTGGGTCACATGATCTCCAGGAGTGAAATCTGTTGCCAGTAGATGGTGGAAAAAATGCTTGAGACAAGCTGGGTTCCAATGGCTCAGGCCTATAATCCTAGCTACTCAGGAGGCAGAGATCAGGAGGATCGCCGTTCCAAGCCAGCCCGTGCAAAAAGTTCGCTAAACCCTCTCTCGAAAAAACTCATGACTAAAAAGGTGGCTCAAGTGGTAGAGTGCTTGCCTAACAAGCATTAGGCCCTGAGTTCAAACCCCACTGATGCGAAAAGAAAAAAAAAAAAAACCAACCCAAGATGCTTGAAGCATTTAAGCAATACAAGTTCAGCTATGGTTGGATTCACAGTCTAATATAACTGGAACTTGCCTCTCCCTCCATCACTGTACTTTGCTTTCCTCTGGGTTAGGTTCATCCTTAGGGGAACTCCCAGCATCCCCAGCAGCATCCCAAGTAGGTTAACAACCAGGTCTGCCTCACTCGCAGAAAGAGACCACCCCCCTCTCCAAGCACCACCAGCTCCGCATTAAGGTCTGGCTTTAAGTCTCACTGGCCCACCCTAGGGCACATGCCCTTCAGTCAGCCAATCACAGTAGCCTGGGTGGGTAGACTATGCTGATTAGCTCGGGCTGAGGTGTGTGTGCGGGGGATGTCAGCCTCACTCAAATCTCAGTTACTAAGAAGGAGAGGGGATTTCTCGCAAGGAAATAAAACAAGAGGGAACAGGGGAACTGGATAAGCAGTGACAATCCAATGTCCCCTACAGTGTGGCTGGGCCACACCAGACCATGGGCTCCTCCAGGGCAAAAATAGGAATAAACTAACATTACTGTCACATTTTGTATATATTCCCTGTTCCGGGTGTTCTGCATATACCCTTGAATTTAGTGATGAGAAAAACCCTTGACTTTTTGCTGTTTCTGTTTATTTTGGTGCTGGGGATCAAACCAGAGCTTCCCACGTGCTAAGCAGGCACTCTTAACGACTGAGCTTAAATCCCAGTCCTTTTTTTTCTTTTAGCAGAAAATGTGAGTGGTCCTATAATTAGTAACAAAATTGAATCTTTTTCCCCCAGTTTTATTATGGTATGATTGACAAATAAAAATTGTATATACTTAAGGTATACAACATGTTTTCATAAAAGTCTACATTTTGCAGTGGCTAGGGAAATTAAGATAATTAGCATCTCCTTGCATTATTTCCGTGTGTGTGTGTGTGTGTGTGTGTAAGAACACAATATCTACTTTTTATAGCAAATTTCAAGCTTACATACCGTTTTATTGACTATTATAATTACCATGCTGTACAGTAGTCACCTTATAACTGAAATTTGTATTTGTTTTTTTTTTCTTGGTGGTACCGGGATTTGAACTCAGGGCCTATGCTTGGCAGGCAGGTGCTCTTACTGTTTGAGCCACTCTACCAGCTCTTTCTTGTTTTTTTTCGAGATTAGGGTCTTCTGAACTCTTTGCCCAGGCTGGCTTCGAATGGTGATCATCCCGATCTCTGCATCCTGAGTAGCTAGGATTACAGGGGTGAGCCACCAGTGCCAACGATAGTTCGTATTTTTTGATCTACATCCCCCCATTTCCCTCACCCCCAGCTCCGGGAACCATCGTTCTGTTTGCACGAGTTTCACTTTTTTGGATTCCACATAAAAGTGACATCATGTGGTGTTTGTCCTTCTGGGTCTGGCTTATTTCACTTATCATAATATCCTCCAGGGTCACCCGTGCTGTCACAGATGTTTTTCCTCCTTATTTTTTCTCTTTCCTTTTCTTTTGGGGTTACTGAGAATTAAACCCAGGATCTCACACATGCTAGGCAAGTCTCTACCACTGAGCTACACTCCAGCCCTTTTTTACTTTATTTTGAGAGCGTCTCGATAAGTTGCCCAGGCCTCATTATGTAGCCCATGCGGTCTCAAACTCTGAATCTTCCTCCCTCAGCTGGGAATACAGGTGTGCACCTGCTAGCATTTCTTCTTCTTAAAGGCTGAATAATATTTTGTTCTCTCTCTCTTGCATTTTATATCTCACATTTTCTTTATCCACTCACTTGCTGATGGACACATAGGGGAGATATTCTTATCTCTGTTACAGAACAGAAATCTCAGGGCTAGAGAGACCCAAGGAATTAAGTTACCTGCCCGAGGTCACAAAGTTCATAGGAACAATTCTGTATTTGTTCCGAGGTTATCAAGAACTTAGACATAAATTAGCACATACAGGTACTCCACAAATATTTCATTCATCCCTTTGCCCAACGTCCTATGTCATGCCAGGCACCATTCTTTGGCATAGACTGTGCCCTCATGGAACTCACATTTTCCTGGAAGGAATGGACAAATGACAAGTAAGAGATGTGTCTATTATATTAGGATCTGATAAGGGACATGGAAAGAAACAGAGCAGGGTAAGGAGGTAGGGAGAGTTTATAGTTGTACATGGATGGTCAGGGGCCTAACTGAGAAAGTAAGATTTCAACAAAAGTTTGCAGGAGGTAGGCAGGTAGTGAATATCTAGAAAGGAGTGTTCCAGGCCAAGGGACCAGCTGGTGCAAAGGCCTGGGGCCCTGAGGCAGAAGCATGGCTGGTATGAAAGCCATACTGGTTGGGTACATTACGGAAAATGGAGTTAGGGAAGGAGAAGGGGCTTGATTAGTAGGAGATGGGTCTCCAATTGTGGTTAGGAGAACTGAAGAAAAATCCAGAATATGTTCTCTAGATCTTGGTATCCATGCAGTATTAGTAAGAGATGAGGTTAATCCTACCTGCCCAGGAAGCAGAGATCAGGAGGCTCTTGGTTTGAAGTCAGCCCAGGCAAATGGTTCGTGAGACCCTATCTCGAAAAAACTCCCAACACATCAAACCTCAGTTTTATCCACCCCTCCCCCCACACAAAAAAAAGTCTGGTGGAGTGGCTCTGCTTGCTTGTCAAGTGTGAGGCCTTGAGTTCAAACCCCAGTACCACCAAAAAACACAAACAGATGAGACTGAATCTTTTAATCGTTCTTTCTTTTGACAGGACCAGAGTTTGAACTCAGGGCTTTGCCCTTGCAAAGCAGGCACTCTATCACTTGAGCCATTTTACTAAGTCCATTTTACTCTGGTTATTTTGGAGGCAGGGATCTTGCTTTTCTTTTTTTCTTTTTTTTGGCCCAGGGTTGACCTCCTGATCTCAGTCTCCCAAGTAGTTAGGATTACAGATGTGAGCCACCAGTGCCCAGCTCTTTTCTTCTTACTCATTTTTTGTTTGTTTGCTTTTGTATTTTAAAGACAGGACTTACTATGTAGCCCAGGGTGGCCTGGAACTCAAGATCCTCTTGCCTCAGTCTCCAGCTTGCTGTGATTATAGATGTGAGCTACCATTCCCGGCTGAGGGGGTTTGGGATTTCAGTCTGGCATCAGGGCAATGGGCACTCGCCTTGTGTATACATGGAACTTTCCTGGGGCTCTCCTGAACACTGACAGTTTGAAGATGAGGCACAGACCCTGTCCCAACCCTAGAGAACTGTCCTGTGTAGCAGTTCTTGAGGCCTTGGCAGGCACCTGGTCTCCAGCCCCAGGTGGTTGTGTCTACAGTGATGGTCCATCTGTATGTTACCAGGAAAAGGAACACAGGTCTGGAAAAAGACAGGTGCCATCTATGAAGGCGACTGGAAGTTTGGGAAGAGAGATGGCTATGGCACCCTCAGCCTTCCAGACCAAGAGACAGGAAAGTACAGGAGAATCTACTCGGGCTGGTGGAAAGGTGATAAGAAATCGGTGAGTGCTTGCCAGCATGCCCTGGTTGTGGCAGACTGACAGCCAGACTCTGAGTGTGATTCTGTGTGTGTGTCTGTAGGGAGGATGAGGCCTGGAGGTGTGGCTCAAGTGGTAGAGTGCCTGCTTTGCAAGTGCAAAGCCCTGAGTTCAAACCCCAGTCCCACCAAAAAAAAAAAAAAAAAATCCCATTGGCCTGCTTTGTAGGGAGGTAGGGAGGACGAAAGGGTGGGGAGTGGAGACATACAGCCAGGAGGAATTGTCAAGGCTTCTCAGAACAAAGCCAAGCAAACAGGAAGCAAAAGGAGTGTGTTCAGGGAGGAGCCCATGAACCCTGTGGCTATAAGAAGGCAGCAGGCTATGGGTGGGGTTTCCTCCACCCACTTCCCCCTCCTTTCCTGGCTTTCTTTGTCCTGGGCATCCCTTCCTGAGAAAACCCCTTGTGTTAGACCTGGGTAAAATGGGAGGGTAGGAAACCAGGCATGGTAGCACAGACTGCAGTCCAAGCATTTGGAAAACAAGGCAGGGAGATGGTGAGTTCCAGACCAGCCTCAAGAAAGATATTGCCTCAAGAAACAAACAAAAGGGAGGGTAAGAAGCAAGAGTGGTTCACACCTGTAATTCTAGCTACTCTATTGCTTATACTCTCTCTTCAACAAAATTAGAGATAAGGGCAAAATAGTTTCTGCCAGGTATCGAAGGGGTGGGGGGGTGGTAAGGGAGGGGGTGGGGGGAGGGGGGAGAAATGACCCAAACATTGTATGCACATATGAATAATAAATAAATAAATAAAATAAACAACAACAACAAAAAAATTCTAGCTACTCAGGAGGCAGAGATCAGGAGGATTGAAGTTCGAAGCCAGCCCAGACCCTGTCTCAAAAAATAACCATCACAAAACAGGGCTGGTGGAGTAGCTCATGAGTTAAGACCACCTGCCTTGCAAGCATGAGGCCCTGAGTTTAAACCCCAGTGCTGCCTAAAAGAAAAAAAAAAAAAAAAAAAGGAAGAAAGGGCTAGAAGTTAGCCAGGGGCAAGTCTTCAGCCCCTAAATGCCCATACCCAGGTGAACTTGAGTGAATCGTCACCATGGAGATTAGTAATGACAGTATTGCTATTGAGCTTCGATTATTGTGAGCCTGAAACGTATCTGGTGCATGAATTAACTCTTACAACAACTTTATGTCATCATCATTCCATTCGACTGATGGAGAAACAAGCTCAGAGAGGTGAAGTACCTTGCCTGTGGTTTCACAGCTGGCAAGTGGCAGAGCCCAAGATTTCTTGTTCCTTGCTCCCCAATTTTTTATTGGCCAGTGGGAAGACTGAGCCCAGAATAAACAAGTTGTGTATAATAGCTGTGTTCCCAGGGTACCCAGAGGAAGGTCTTTAAGTCCAGCCTAGAGCATACAGGGCTGGCTTTCTATAGGTGACAAGGAAAGATGCTAGGAGTTACCCACAGAGAGAAAGGAGGACTGGGGACAAACAGCAATGGGAAGGAGCTGTCAAACAGCAGTACACATGGACCTGGGGAGGGAGGGCCTCAGGGTATTGAGGAGTAGACTTGGGCTGCTCAACCCAACCTCCTGGTGGGATGGCCAGGAAGTTCCTGAATCCTTGTGGTTGGACGCAAGTATGATGTTTATGTCATGTTTCATAACTTTTATGATTCTCAGAGGCAGTTGACTGCAACGGATCAAAATCAGAGTTGGGCGGGTAGGTGGGTGAGGGGCAAACGAGATCAGATGGGCCATTAAAGATCTTTCTGGCCGCTGTGTGGAGGGTGCATGGGATTGGGGGCGGAGAAGAGGCGACCACAGAGGAGGGAGAAATGTTGGCGAGCTGCAGGGAGGTGGTCGCAGAGGGATAGAGGACATGCAGAGCTTGAGCTGAGGGAGGGAGAAGCTCAGGTGTGCGGCTTTGTCCCTGGGAAGCAGGTGGGCTCACCTAGGGTTTGAGGGCGCAGTGAACAGGGACACTTTCGTGCTTTCAGGGCTACGGGATCCAGTTTTTCGGACCCAAGGATTATTACGAGGGTGAGTGGTGTGGCAACCAGCGCTGCGGGTGGGGCCGCATGTACTACAGGAACGGCGACATCTACGAGGGCTGGTGGTGGAACAACAAACCCGAAAGGGAGGGCATGTTACGTCTGAGTAAGTGCCCCGCCCCTGACCACGCCCCACTCCAGCAGACCCCCCTACTGACCACGCCCCCTTCCTCCCGGGCATTGCCGAAGGCCCCACTCTTGGCACGGCACGCCCACATGACCACGCCCCCTCGTTACCACGCCCCCGTGGGGCTACAGCGCATAAACGAATAGGATGCCTTAATCCCTTCCTTTTGGGATCTTATACACTGATAAGAAAGGCTAACAATAAATAGATAAATAAGACAATTTCTTATTTTTGGATGGGATTTAGGATTTGAACGCAGGGCTTCGCATTTGCAAAGCAACTGCTCTACCGCTTGAGCCACACCTCTGGTCCATTTTGCTCTGATTATTTTAGAGATGGGGGAGGTGTGTGTCTCATGAACTATTTGCCCGGGCTGGTCTCGAACCTTGATGGTACCAATCCTCCCAAGTAGGTAGGATTACTGGTGTGAGCCACCAGCAGCAGGCGACAATTTTTATAATCATTATAATCATAGGAATAAACCATTTTAATCCACAACAATCCTACAAATCTGATACTCTTTATCATTACGACGGTACAGATGAACTGAGGCACAGAGAGGTGAAGTCATACAGGATGTTAGTTGTAGGTCAAAAAGGCTAAGGAGGCCCAGCATGGTGGTACACACCTGGAATTCCATTCCAGCATGTGGGAGGCTGAGGCAGGAGGATACAAGTTCAAGACCAGCCTGGACTACATAGAAAAGCCTGTCTCAAAAAAAAAAAAGTGCTAAGGAATGCTTAGGAAACAGGAAAGTGTGTTGGGAGAGGACTATTTAGCATGACTTACAGTCAGGAAAAGCCTCTCTGAGGAGGTGACATTTGAAGGAAGAGGAGCTGGATATGTATCGAGTGAGAGCAATCCTATAATTAATAAGAAACACGCATCAATGTCAGCATTTAATCTTTATAGTCTTCTCTCTACATAGGAACCAGAATGAACTTTTTTCTTTTGCGGTACTGGGGTTTGAATTCAGGGCCTACACCTTGAGCCACTTCACCAGCCCTTTTTTGAGTTGGGTATTTTCGAGATAGGGTTTCACAACCTATTTGCCCTATTGGCTTTGAACAGCAATCCTCCTGATCTCTGCCTCCTGTGTAGCTAGGATTACAGGTTTGAGTCACCAGTGCCTGGCCAGAATGAACTCTTTAAAACACAATTGGACCTCACTTCTGCCCTGTTTTGAAATCTTCCATAGCTCTCTATGGCTCTCAGACTGAGTTCTAAGCCTTTACTCTTTGGGGCCCTGCTTGTTTGTCTCTGCTCACTCCTCTAGCTTCTTCACTTCCTTCTTCTCTTTCCCTGGACTTTGGTTTCAACCATAGTGACTTTATTTCTTCCAACACTTTCTGCCTCAGGGCCCTTGCACTACTGTTCTGTTTGTGGAATGCTTTTTCTTAGATCTTTCCATTGTCCTTGCCTCAGATAGGTCTTCCTTATCTAAAACACATTCTTCTCAGTACCTGGTTCCTTTCCTTCCTAGCACTGGCTGTATCATCTTGGCCCTCTGAGCCTCAATTTCCTTATCTGTCAAATAGAGATAATAGCAGTGCTCATTTCATGGAGTTGTGGGGAGGGCAAGATGAGTTAATATGTGTAAAGTGCTAGAACAGGGCCTGGCTACCAGTAGACTCTACATGAGGGCATCATGGTCCCTCTAGACAGCCGCATAAGGAGACTGTTTGTTCCCCACTGTTTCCCTGGGGCCCAGCACATGGTGGGTGCTCTTGGTGAGGACATGAACCAGACCCTAATCTCCTGAAAAATAAGGACTTTGACTTCCAAGCTGAGGCACTGGGCAGCTGGGAGGGCTTAGGCAGCTGTTCTGTCTGTTCTTCTAGTCTCCCATGCTCCCCAGCTCTGATCCTGCTTCTAGTGAGCATCCACTATGAGTGGCCAGCCAGGGCCTATGCAGTGTGATGGCTCTCAGCGCGTCATTTCTCATGGCCAGGACTTGGCTGGCTGGCCTGGGAGCAGATCCTGACCTGAACTCATATTGGCACTGGGACCTCGAGTGATTTGCTTAAACTGTGCTTTGGTTTCCTTGTTCTAAATGTATAGACAAAAATAAAACTCAGGCTGGGATGTAGTGCAGAAACAGAGAGATTGCCTAGTGTACTGGAGGCCCTGGATTCTATCCCCAGTCCTGAAAGACAAAACAACAACAAAAAAAGACTGGGGTTGAAGCTCAGCGGCTGTACATGTGCAGGTCCTAGTTTCAACACCTGGCACTAACAGATAAAACAAAGTAAACGAAGCTCACCTCTCCAAATGACTGACAAGTTTAAATGAGGGCTCAAGGGCCTCTCGTTGATTAGTCCACACCTGTCAACAACCACAGTGCTGGTGGAGCCACAGCCTGCCAATCGGGCTGGTTTGGGGTGCCTGGGACCCATGCCTCTCTGTCCTTTCCCCAGAGAATGGAAACCGCTACGAGGGCAACTGGGAGAGAGGCATGAAGAACGGGCATGGGCGTTTCTTCTACCTGGACCATGGTCAGCTATTTGAAGGTTTCTGGGTGGATGATGTGCCCAAGTGTGGCACCATGATCGACTTTGGCCGCGATGAGGCCCCGGAGCCTACCCAGTTCCCCATTCCTGAGGTGGGCAGCCCTCCCAGGGCCCTGCGACACCTAGAAAGAGACAGGAACAACCCTCTCCCATCCCCCAGCCTACCTCACCTGAGGATGCCTTGTTTTCAGGCAGGGCAACTGGGGCCTTCCCAGCTCCTCAATATAACCCTCATTGCCTTCCTTCAGCTCAAACTTCTAGACCCTGATGGTGTGTTGGAGGAAGCCTTGGTCATGTTCAAAAAAACAGAGGAAGGAGGACACTGATGCCAGGTGAGGAAGTGGGCACATCTGCCACCTTTGATGAGGTGTCTCATCAAAGTCTCTGGGGCTTGGAACAACATAGTCTCCAAAGGGCTGAGAGGCAAGGCCAGAGAGGGCAGGTTTTTGCCTCCGGTGGTCCACCTGGTCCTTTTTAGTTCTTTGAAACCCAGTGTATTCTAGCCCTGCCCAGATCTACCCATTTGCATGTTGGGCCTTCTTGGTGGGCACTGGGCTGAAGTCAGGTGATCTGATGCCCTTGAGTGAGGCTCCGGGCCCAGGTCTCCTTTGACACAACTGTCTGGTGGGACTCGTGCAGTCATAGCCCCTCCCAGGGTGTGGGTGAGCCTGGGAAAGGGCACTAGTCCAGCATTTTTCCACACCAGCTCCACTGTTGTCCTCACCCCTGCAGAGAGAGCCAAGGCTCAGGAGAAACTCAGTTCAAGCCCTTGTCACCCAACTGCTCAGACCAGTGCGATGTGGCTCCTGAGGGAGGAGCCAGCAGTGACTCCGGACACACCCATGGCACTCTCAGAGGGCACCACACTCCTCCTAGTATGAGGTCATTCTTTACCAATGGGGGCCAGTGTGTCTCTCCAGCTGGCCTTGGGGACCCTCTTATTAAGGCCTTCATTCTATGACCTATATTGCAGAATAAAGAAGAAACCTGCTGGCCTTAGCTCAGGGTCCGTGGAATGAGTAGGGGTGGAAGGGCTTGGAGGGATGTCAGATAGATGGAAGACAGTTTCCTGGGTTAGGGGAAAAGGGTCAGGCAGCTCCAGGTTTCTGACCACTGAGCTAGCCCAGAGAGCAGAGTAAACTTGTCTCCCACCAGTTCTCAAGACTTGAGATTCAAGCTGGACCCACGTTCTCAATGGGTGTTCTCAATTTTGGAATCCCGTGGAAGCTTTCGAGGCTGTGGATGCCTGGGTCCCATGCCTAGGGACTCCCATCTGATTCAACTGGGGTGAGGCTTAAGCTTTCAAAAAACTACCCAGGGGATTCTGATATGGAGCTGGGGTCAAGACCCCATGACTGAGAGGCTGTGTGACTCTAATCAGGTGGTCTCAGTTGTTCCATCTGTAAAATGGGTCTGAGGAGACCTCACAAGAATGCTTGGAGACTTTAACAGATGAGAGAATACGTGTTAAGGTTAACTGTGCACCAGCTTTCTGGAAAGAACTCTGCAGAAAACCCTATGTGCCATTCTCGAGCAGTGAGAGAGACTCTTGCACACTGGGTAGGAGTGTGAGCCCTGAAGCCAGTTTGCCTGGATGGAAAGCCCAGAGCTGTGTGTTCTTGACAGTGTCACCCACTCTATTCTGTAGGCGCCCTCACTTGTAATGTGGGACAATAACAGAATTTACCACCTGGGGTTATTGTGGATAGTTACTGTGATGATGAAATTGCACAGTAATTTTAAACTGGGTGGTATTTTTTTCCTTCAGGAACATTTGGTAGTGTCTGGAGACACTTGTGGTTGTCACAGTTGGCAGAGAGAAATGCTACTGCTTGCTCTCTAGAGGGTAGGAATCAGGGATATTGCTACAATGTAAAAAACACTACAAAGGAATTATTCAGCTCAAAGTCAAGTGTTGTGGTAGAGAAACCCTGAAATTTGCTGACGTTTGTAAAGCCCTCAGCCAGTACCTAGCACACACTAAAGACTCACTGACATTCACTGCCCCCTAAATCATAATTTGGCCTGGCCTAAGGCGTGGTGCTCCATCTATACCTGACCCCAGGAAGTCAAGACTGTCCACTGCAGTCAACAGTAACTACCAGATACTCAGTGGAGGGCTAGGGGCATGGTTCAAGTGGTAGCGCTCCTGCCTAGCCTTGAGTTCAAACCTCAGTACTGCCAAAAAAGAAAGAAGGTCCCAGAACTGGGTGCCAGAGGCTCAATCCTGTAATCCTACGGACTCAGGAGGCAGAGATCAGGAGGATTGTGGTTTGAAGGCAGTTTGGGCAAATAGTTCCTGAGACCCTATCTAAAAAAAGCCCATCACAAGAAAAGGGCTGGAGTGGCTCATGTGCCAAGTCGTGTTGGCAGCTTCATTTGCCTCCCCTCCCATGATTCCTCAACAGTCTGTGAGGTGTCCTGCTATTTATTAGTATCATTTTAGAGGAGGAAATGGAGGTCTGGGGAAGTTCACAAGCCTCCAAAGTACTGCTGTGCCTAAACTTGTATCTGTCTGCTCTGAAGGAGGGTTACCATTTTGTTTTGGAAACAGTGTGGGGAGGGTGCATTTGTTTGTGTATAAAATATCATTGGGTAGGGACAAAATAAACTGGCAATAATGGTTGTCTCCAGGGAAAACTGGGGACCTGGGAACAGAACTTTTTACTGTTTTATTTGGAACCATGTGAATGTATTATCTGCTGTATTCGAAATATAAATAAAGCTGAAATTAAAGAGATTGTGACTTTTTATTCCTTTATTTTGGTGCTGGGGATGGAACCCAGGGTCTCGTGCAGGCTAAGCAGGTACTCTACTATGGAGCTGCACCCCAGCCCTGAGATAAGCTTTCAACGAGTGTTTGCCTAAATTGCCAGGGTGTGAGTGCTTGCAGTGCTCATTAGAAATAGATTCCAGACACACCCAGACCAACTTGAAGCAGACTCTAGATCACTGGGGGTGAGTGTAGGGGTGCTTGGGTATCTACATTCTACAAGCCAGGCTGGTGACTCTGTCTTGGCAAGTTTAGGAAAGAGAACCCAAGACTACAGAATCATAGCCCAGAAATTACTCCAGCCAGATCCAGGCTCTGCAGAAGTAGTGCAGTGGGTATCCCTGGGAAAGGTACAGAAGACCTCCAAGCTTCTCTGGGGAGTAGAAGGGGCTTCACACAGGGAACCCTACACAGCCCTAACCAGTCCGTCTGAGGGTGGTCCTGGTGGATGTGATGCAAAGATTCAGGGTGGATGTGAAGTGATGAGGGAGAGAAATATTAGGCCCTATCCAACTTTACTTTCACTAGAGCTTTTTACAAAACCCCTGGGCAGTGGTAGCGTGCTTGCTTAGTATGTGCAAAGCCTTGGGCTCCATTCCTAGTACTGTAAAAAAGAAAATGCACAAACCAACCACCATTTATATGTTGGGTTTCTGGGAAAGACAAAAATCTCAAAGTCAGGGAATGTGGGGGCCAAGCAAGCAACATTAGTGCAAGACAAGAGATAAGGACTGTGGCAAAGATAGGCGCTTGGGGTGACTGTAATGGCCCCTCCTGGCCTTTGTTGCACTCTCTGTAAGTAGGTCCAGTGAGCCTGGATCTTCCAATTTTTTCAAGCAAAGCCAGAAGCAGCCCAGGTAAAATTTTTGTGAGGGCCTGGGCTCTGAGCCAGACTTTCCAGGTTGGAATCCCAGCAAGTTACTTATGATGGTTAATCTTGACTGTCAACTTGATTGGATTAAGAAACGCCTAGGAGATTAGTAAAGCATACCTCTGTGAGACCATTTCCAGAGACAACTAGATCATAAAAGCTGTGACCTAATGAATGGATTAATCCCTTGATGGATTTATACCATGATGGCATTATTAAGGAGGTGGTGAAAGATAGGAGGTGAGGCCTAGTTAGAGGAAGTGGGTTTACTGGAGATGTGTTCTTGATGGGGGCACTAGATCTTGCCTGGCTCCTTCTTTTATCCCATTCTCTGCTCCTTAGCTACCAGGACTTGAACTGACTGCTCTGTTACTGTACACCCTCCCCACCATGGTGAATTGACACTTCTGAAATGAAGCCAAAATCTTTCCTTATTTCAATTGCTTTTCTCAGGTATTTGCCAAACAGATGGAAAAGCCTAACTAATACACTAAACTCCCTTGAGCATCAAATTTGTTTTCTGCAAAATGGAGGTAACAGTACTGCAGGTTAAATGAGTGACACACCGTGCTTTGAACAGCCTATGCATACAATGGTTACCTAGTCTTATTTTGCTGTTTAAAGGAATCCTGAATCACACAGACAATTCCTGCCATTGCACACAATCTGATTGCAATCATGAGAGAATATCAGAGAAGTCATTCTCTAAAACCACAGGCCTGGACTCTTCAAAAATGGTAATGTTGCAAAAGATAAAGATTGAGGAACTGCTCCATATTAAAGGAGACTTAAGACATTAAGTCTATGCATGGTCCAGGATTGGAAAAAGCATTCCTAGAAAGGACATTCTTGGGACACGCAGGAAATTGAACATGAATGTTATATTAGATAGTTGCAGTGAATTGTGGTTGTGTAGTGGAATATCCTTGGTTTTAGGCTGAAGGACTGGTATCTGCACCTAAAACGTATATATTCAGGGGGAAATATGCACAATCCACCTTGTTATTTGTGGTTTCAGGATTCACAAGTTCACCTGCTTGCTAAGGTCTAAGCTCTGCCTTCCAGTTTCAGCTCCTACACTGTTAACAAGTGTCCTTTTCACTGTCTACTTAGTGTCACATTGCTGTGCTTTTTGTTGGTGACTTTGCTGTTTAAAATGGTCTCCAGTGGGCTAGGGGTGTAACTCAGTCATAGATGCCTGAGGCTGTGGTTCAATTCCCAGTAGGAAAAGAAGGGAAGAGAAAGAAAGGAGAAGGGGGAAAGGGAAGGGGAAGAGAGAAAGGGGGAAGTGAGGGAAAGGGAAAGAAAAGAAAAAAGGGGAAGAGGGAAAGGAGGGGAAGGGGAAGAGAAAAAAAAAAAGTCTCAAGCGTAATACTGGATATCTGTCTGGCATTCCTAAACCTAAAAAGGTTATGGTGTACCTCACAGAGAAAATATATGTGTTAGATAAGCTTTGTTCAGACACAAGTTACAGTGCTGCTGGCTGTGAGTTCAATGGTAAGAGATTAACAACATAAAGATGTCTTTAAACAGAATAATCCTAAATCAACTGACAAAAACATCATGACCAGAGACTGGCAGGACCCTAACCCTAGACCTCCCCTAAGAGCAATGGTTCAGGACTGTTACTCCAGTGCTCATGGTGACTTTATACGACATAACTGCTACCAATAAAAAGAAAGGACTGAACTTATTTCACTTACTATTCATGCAGTTATTTTTGTAGATTGGAAATTTCTCAAAAAAAAAAAAAAAAATCACTCGCTGGGCACCTAGTACCCAGGAGGAAGAGATTAGGAGGATTGCGGTTGGAACCCAGCCTGGGCAAATATATTGTGAGACCCTATCATGAAAAACCCTTCACAAAAAAGGGCTGGTGGAGTGGCTCAAGGTGTAGGCCCTGAGTTCACACCCCAGTACTGAGAAAAAAAAAAAAAAAATTACTTAGGCGGGGGATGTAGCTCAGTGGTACAGCACTTGCCCAGCATGTGAGAAGCCCTAGGTTTGATCTCCAGCACTGAAAAAAAAAAAAAAGTTTAAAGAAATGTTTATTTTTATAATGCTGGAGATAGAATTCAGGGCCTTGAGCTTGCCAGGGAAGTGCTCTACCATGGAGTTGTACCCCCACTTAAAAAAAAACCCCAAAAAACACTTAGCAGCTCACATGATAGTGACACCAAGAGAAATCATAATAGACCTAACAAACACAGACACCAGGAAAAGTGTCCCTTGTGAGTATATTTCTGTGTTCACACACATGCACACACTCGACGCTGAATGACACAGAAGGGACAGGAAGCATCTGGGTGGCACTGGCATGGGATGAAGTAGGGACAAAGACAACATCTGTTCCCACTCTGGCCCCACCACCTCCTACCAGGAGGAGAGCTGCAGGTGGAAGAACAGGGAGTGCTTACTCTCTTATAGGAAAGTCTCAAAGTGCAATCATTTCTTTTAAAAAAGGCTCTTCCCTCCATTCTCTGCCCTGGGTGAAGCCCAGCCCCCTGCAAAGCTGTCCCCTCTGGGCTGGGGCAGGACAAGGTCATGGGGAAAGGCGTAAGGCCAAAGCTCCGAAGGGCTCAGTGGTGAGGGCTTAAGCATAGTGACTGCCAGGCGTCAGGGGGTGGTCCCCTCTGTGGTCCAGCTGGTCCTGCAAGCGGGCAAACTCAGCCAGCTCATTGAGCTCCTGGAACTGTCGGTCCGTCTTGTGGCTGACCAGTGATCGGTAGAAGTGGACAGCAAAGACGATAAAGACAAGACCACAGGGGACCATGATGGCAGTGGAGGCAATGGCTGCTGCCTGACCTGGGGTGATGCCACCGCTGCTGGCATTGTGGTCTGAGCCATCCTGGGGCTGGCTTGTGGCACTTGGCTGGCCTGGATGCTTCTTGAGAGGCAAAAACTTGACCCAGCAGAGCAGCACGACCTCAGCCAGGAAAAGCAGGGTGCCAATGACAGTGGAGAAGGCCCAGGCCAGCTCGATGTGACGATGCATGCGCTCATGGGGTGACTCCTTGACTGAGTTGAGGTTGTGCACGTTGCTCACCGCCTCAATGTTGGGCAGGATGCAGGTGCTGATCATGAGTGCGAACAGATGCACGGCCACCAGCACCGTGGTGCAGGCGCTGAAGACAATGAGCAACCCTGGTGGGTAGTCATGGTCGGCGTCCAGCTGCACCTCCACCATCGCCACCTGGGGGAGGGGACAGATGGGTGAGTGGCGTGTTCAAATCCTGCCTCTCCTCCCATCAGACTAAGGGACCCTGGTTTGATCAGGGCCACTTAACCTCTCTGAGCCGTAGTGGGAGAGGGATCATAAAGTCTACCCGTTTGGGATTGAGAATTGGCAGAAGGTACTGGTGAAGAAAGCAAGCTTAGAGCTCATTAGCTGTGTGTCCATGAGTAAGTCACTTAGCCTCTCTGAGTTGCACCTTATCTGGGAAATGGGGATATCACATTAATTCATAAAATTATTTTAACAATTAAATGAGAGTTTCCGGTACTTGGTAAACGCCACCGAGATGGTAACAATTCCATTGCTAACCAAACATAAATGGTCTGTGGTAGCTTTTTATGTTATGCATACTTTATAATGATTTAAAATATGCAAAGACTTCAGGTGTAGCTCAGCAGTAAAGCATGTGCCTAACAAGAGTGAGGTCCTGGGTTCTATCATCAGCATTGCAAAGATAATCAATTAATTAAAAATAACGAACCACCATCCTTATTGGTCCCACACACGCACACCCAAGTGGGGCCTTTTTCATGCCCTGCCCTGGGGACAAGTAGAATGAGGGCTGGAGAGGTAAAGACCCTCACATGTCACACCCAGATCCTTTCTGAGAACAAAGTGCACAGACTGACAAGGAACCCCCACAGGCTTCCCAGAAGAGATGGGCCCAACCCAGTGCTCATCTTTTGATTGAGTGGCCAGCAAGCCTCAAGGCTATCATCTCCTCCCCTGGCTCCAGGGCTGATGCACTGGCTGCTCCCCAGTTCCTGGAGACCTGGGTCACCAAGGACATGCTCTGGGTATGCCACCTGCTCTTCTCACCTGTCTTCTTGCCTGAGCCTTGCAAATCACCCCCATGCAAAGGAGCCAGCTCATCAGATTTGAGCCAGAAGAAGCGGGCAGTAGGCAGGCTGCCAGGGTCTGACCCTGCAGGCTGGAGGTACAAGGGCAGCAGGCACCAATGACAATAACACCATCAAGGAATAGTTGACTCCTTTTTTGTCTTTTAAGACAAGGTCTCACTATGTAGCCCAGGCTGACCTCAAACTCTTGATCCTCCTACCTCTACCTCCCAAGTACTGGGATTACAGGTGTGTAATACCATGCCCAGTTTAGGATGGTGACTCTAAAGGTTATCTGATGTTAAAGTTTGCCCACTAGCCTCATCAACTGACTTCAAGCAGGCAGGTGAATAGAGCCCTGAGCTCAGGGCTCTGTTCACCCCTAGGAAGGGGCTTGGGTTCCTTCCTTCCCCACAAGTTCTCCTTTTGCCAGTCTGCCTGGCTTTGAACCCTGACTCCTTTGCCCTGTAATATTTTTTGGCAGTACTGAGGTTTGAACTCAGGGCCTCAGGCTTGCTAGGCAAGTGCTATACTGCTTAAGTTATTCCACCAGCCCTGTTTTGTGTTGGGTATTTTTAAGATAGTGTCTTGCAAACTATTTCCCAAGGCTGGCTTCAAACTGCAATCCTCCTAATCTCTGCCTTCTGAGTAGCTAGGATTACAGGCATAAGCCACTGGTGCCTTTCTCCTCTGCCCTTTTATTAGGCTGTATGACTCTGGCAAGATTCCTTCAACTTTCTGTGCCTCAGTTTACACATCTGTAAAACAGGAATAATGCTACATGCCTCAGAGGGCTGTTATGAGGATTGAGTTAATCACATGAATACTTGGTACCTGGCTACAGTAAAGTCAGTAAAAGTGAGATTTACTGTTATTTCTGTTTAGAAACCTCATGCTCAAACCCATGTTTCTTTGCTCCTATCCTATCCTCCTCCTGAAGGGGCAGGCTCAGCCTGAGGGAAGCAGGCCAATTGCAGATCTAGCTCCATAACCTGAACTGCCCCTGCCTCACTGTGGGGCCTGGTCCAGACTCTCCCCTTTCTGTAAAGGAGGGGAGTGGCAAGATTAAGGTAGCAGTCCAGAGCCGACCTTTGAGAATCTAGGGGAAATGGTGGACATGTCTCTTAAACAGCCAGGTTTATATATTCCTAGGACTTTTCAGACCATTTCAATGAGATTCACAGCCTTTTACCCAAGAATTCCCGTAGCTGGCAAGGATATGGACTTTGTAGCCTAGGAGTTTACAAAACAGTTCAAGCTCATGTAAATTTGGGGCAGTGCCATCAGGATTTTGAAGATCACTAGTGGCGTAAAGCCCAGCCTCAGAAGTTAGCGCATGCGGGTGAGGGACACAGGGCGTCAGGGCAGGCCACTAGCTGGACAGTTAGCAGCCACACACTGAAGCTCCCTGGTCTCTGCCCCAAGGCTACCTAAGCCTGGAAAAGCGGGCACCCTCTCAGGAGTGCCTCCTGCCACCTCGACACCCTTGCACTTCCTCTTCCTGTTTTGGCCTGCTGTCCCAGAACCTGAAACCTGAGAAAGGACAAGCCGGAGAGGCTGCTGCCTAACTGCCCCAAGTCCAAGGGCTACTTCTCCACCCGATGGAAATGTTCAGAGTCCTCAGGCGGGACAGGCCCCAAGCTGGGTGCTGGGGAGTTTTAGCTGGTGGGATGCATGTGTTTTATACAGGTAATTCAGTGCCTCCCCTGAATCTCAGCCCCTCAGCTCCTCTCTAGAGCCCTTAGCCACAACCACAGCCATGTGAAAAACTGGTTATCTATGCTACAAAGCTGGTGACCTTGAACAAGTATTTCAACTTCTCTGTGCCCCAGTTTCTATGTCTATAAAATGGAGGCCTACTTCTTATGGGTGTTATGAGGTTCCAAAGAGATAAAGTATCAATGATTCTTAGTAATATCATTATACAGGTTGAGAATGTAGATCAGTGGTAGCGTGCCCAGCATGCATGCGCGCGCACACACACACACACACACACACAGAGGTACGGCTCACCCTTGTAATCCTAGCTACTTGGGAGTCAGAAATCAGGAGGATCACGATTTGAAGCCAGCCCCAGGCAAATAGTTCTGAAGAACCTATCTTGAAAAAACATCCATCACAAAAAAACGGGTTGGTGAAGGGGCTCCAGTACTAAGAGCATCTGCCTAGCAAGCGTGAGGCCCTGAGTTCAAACCCCAGTACCACAAAAAAAAAAAAAAAAAACCAACACATACACACAAAAGTGGCTCAAGTGGTAGAGTGCCTGCCTAGCAAGTTCAAAGCCCTGAGCTCAAACCCCAGTGCTGCCAATATATAATCTTTGTTTGCAAATGAAGAAACTGAGTCTCAGAGAGGTGAGATTAACATCAAAGGTGTTACTTTGCTCATGTGTGGAGGATTCCAACTCACAACCACTCTAAAGCCCATGTACAATGGGAGGTCATAGAGTGCTTCCTTCATATGGTCTCTGAGGAGGAGGTTAAATGAGGTTTTGATGTGTAAATGTTTAGCATAAAGTCAGCCACAGGAGAAGCTCAATAAATCTTAGTTAAAAAGAAAAACAGAGAGCTGGAAGCGGAAGAGAAATAGCTCAGAGACTCAGCCCAGGCAGGAGAGGGGCTGACTCCACATGCCCAAGTTCCGCCCCTCACTCTGGGCCTCATCTGCCCCATTCTGAGGTAGCCTTCGCTCCCTGGTTTAGCACAGAGAATGTGTACCCCATACCACACTGATCACCTGGGCAGGACAGAGCCCACTCTACACCACTCCATTTGCTCAGAGGTTTGAAAACCCAGCTGCTGGGGTACAGCCAGCCTGTGGACACCAAAACTAGCCACCCCCCAACCCCCTCTGGGGAGAGGCTGGGGCCCTCCAAGGAAGAGGAAGGGGCCTGCTGCCCTGCTCCAGAAAAAACCCCATCACCCTTGCTGGACCCGATCATTCCTGGAACTCCAACCACACACAGGCTGGCTGTATGCACCACTGCCACATTTGGGACTACATTCAATGCCATAGGGCCGCATACAAGGAATGATTCTGACAGAAGAAAGGGATGGTTGGCATAAATCATAGGTCCTTATGAAAAATGCTCAAAAGCAAAAAAGCCACTGCTTTTCCCCAAATAGTTCCCATTTGGGAAATGTCTCCACGGGTGGGGAGAGTATGGTCAGGGGGACCTTGCAGGAGCTGGCAGCTGGACTCCCAGAGATCAGAGCAGATCAGATTGCACACAGGCAGCTTCGCAAAGTAAATATAGCCTTGTGAGAGCTGGGACCGTTAACCCAAAATAAATAGCTCCCAGCCAGCCAGCCACGGGCCTCCGGGACACCGCAGCTTAAAGGAATAAGGAAGGGCACAGGACTACCAGCCCCAACTCACACAGGTCCACGGAACTCCACAGGGGACTTGGGAGATGCCAAACCTCAGGCTGAAGAAGATTCTGTGATTTCACAGAGGGCAGGGCCTGGCTGGCTTTGGTCTGGACTTTGTCTACCTTGCCCAAATGCCAGCCAGCCCTCCTTCCAACCTGCTGGGCTCCAAGGAGACCCTGGACACCTGGTGCCTTGAAGTCCAGGCCCTTCTAAGGCAGCCGGCTCCCATGCCAGGCCCAACCCCAGCGCCCACAGTGGGAGATATAACTTTTCACTCCCCAGCCCAGGTTTGTTCATTTTTTTAGGAGGGTGGGAAGCTGCAGCTGGAACACAGGGGCTCCCAAGCTGTGGTCACACAGAGTCACCCCCAGCTGTTTGCCTCAGCTCAAATGCGAACAGTTTATTAAGAGACATCTGAGGCCTAATCCAGTGGTTTACAAACTCTCTTGACTGTGACAGTCCAGTATTCCAACTGTTTCTATAAATAGACACGCACACTTTTATAACAGAAATGAAACTTTCACCAAACACCACTTACAATTGAAGCCTGCCAATCGTTTATTCTTACAAGACACATGCTGCTCTATTTCATTCCATTCTGGGTTTTGCGGTTTTTTTTGTTTTGTTTTTGCAGTGCTGGGGATGGAACCCAAGGCCTTGAGCATGCCAGGCAAGCGTTCTACAGCTAAGCTACACTCCCAGCCTTCATTCTTAACTCATTTAAAAAAATGCTAGTTGCCACTTGCTA